GGAGACGCTTGGGCGGGAGGTGGAATACGAGAGGCCCTATACAAATCACCGGGCTACCGTCTTACCCGGGCTCATTCTTTCTCTCCCCTTCTCGCTCCCTCCCTCCCCTATCTCCCTCCCTCTCTGTCACTCTTCTTCCTCCACCTTCCCAGTCTCATCCTCCGCCACTTCTTTTTCTTCGCCTTTTGTCCCTCTCCTCGTTTCTTCTTCTTCCCTTTTTATATCCCTCGTCTCTGTCCTTCTCAATCCGCAAAGCCAACTCTTGTTATATCTCTTTCATTTATCGCTCTTTCTCTCTCTCTCTCTCTCTTCTTCCATTCGCCTTTGAATTTTGGCATAGATCGTAGGTTTGTCGCCTGTTTTCTACGCGTTCCTCTTCTTCATCTCGTTATTCATTTCTCCGTTCTTCTTTTTTTTTTTTTCTTTGTATGTAATGCGCGAGAGCCAGGGGGTTGTGGATCTTTCTCTCTCTTTCTCTCTCTTGCTCGCGCCCTTTTCGCTTCAGCATCCGTTAACCCTGTCTTCCTCGGTCCGTCGCTCTTCCCCCTCCCCATCCCTCGTGCACTTTCATGTCCCTTTTCGTCGGTTCCTTTTTTTTTTTTTTCTCCTGTTGCGAACAACACGCACCTCGACCCTCGGTCACGCACACGTACCACGCGTTGACGCCCAAAAAATTTGACCTTTCAAATAAATTAGTCGCGACACATCGCGGCCTCCGCGACCGATCTTCCACAGTTTCTCTTTATCGGTGGAGGATGATATTTTTTAATCAAATATCGCGTCGATGTAGCGAATGAATTTGATAAAATTCATAATTGCCAAGATTGTTTTCGTAATTTTTCGTTTTGTAGATATATACTTGGCGAAGATCATAAAATATTCGATTCCTTGGCCGAGCATTTCGAGTTATGATTGTACCGACAAAAATTTTAAGAAGGAAAAGAAGCGTGAAAAGAAATGAATACGTTTGGAAAGGCCTTGACGAGACCTTGATTCTCGAATGGAAGGATTGGGTTCAATGATTTGCAAAGTTTAATTATTACGTAATAATTCTGTTATAAACTTTGAATCATTTTCTAACAACGAGGAAAAGAAAAGAACGATAAAAATAACAGTAAAAGAAATATCTCGACAAACCATGACGGATATCAAAATTGTAACGATTTACAAAATTACCTTTGGATCGTAATACTGTAATAATTTTATAATAATCGTATAATTATTCTATCGCGAAAATCAGGAAAAGAACACGGTAAAAAAATTGGAAGAAACATCCTTGGTAAGACCTTGAAGATACGAAAAAGCCTTGGACCTCCGCTCGATCACGTTCGCCAGGCGGAGGGGTTGTAACCAAAGAATTTTTCGGCGGCTGGTTGCGCTCGGCTCGCCCGGAGCGATCTTTCTCGATATCTATTTTTAGTAAGAAGCGTCGAAGAGCAGACGGTGGTGATTACAAAATTGCAGCAGCGATTGGTCCGTGTCATTTTACCGCCAGGGGCATGGGATAGAGGGACAAGACGAAGACGAAATAACCGGTACAAAAAGGACAAAACGGAGGAGGAGGAGGAGGAGGTGGTGGAGGAGAAGCAGCAACAGCGGAGAAGCAGCGGAGAGACGAAAGGAACGACAACGAGAACGAGCAGGGAACAAGAAGAAGAGAAAGAGGAGCGAGTAAACTCGAAGAAAAAAGGAGGGCTCGAAAAATGTGTGGAAAAAAATCTTGATTGCAGAAACCATAAGAAACGACGCGGAAACTTACGAAAAGGGCCATGCTTGAGGAAACATCTTAGAAAGGAAACATATTTGGGGGAGCGGTGATGTGCCGGTAGAAAGCGAATCGAGAGAAGCACAAGGACGAAGCAGAGAAGAAGAAGAAGGAGAAGAAGGAAACGAAGAAGCGTTGAACAGGCAGGCAGCAGTTTGCGGGCACGTACGCGAGCGTAGAGCAAGAAGAGGAGCGTAAAGAGGCGCGCAGAGGAGGTAGAGGAGCGAAAAGAAAGGAAGAAAGAAAGGAGGAGAAAGGAGGAGGCCTCGGTACGGGGTCCGGGCAACGTTCACGCAAACCGACGCACGCATGCAGGGGTGTGAGCCACCTTTTTCTACTTGTTTTCGTTTTTCAGATGCATTTTTTTCCTGTCGTGGCATGGCTCGCGCGCCTCAAAACCCGCCAGCTCAGCCTCGCCGTGATGGGGCCCCGCTGGAATGTAGGAGGGCGTGGGCCCGCAGGGCCCCTGCGAGGCCCAAGAAGGGTCCGGCCGCGTTGGTGGGGGTACCAGCCGGACCGGCTTGTCATGACCGGGGGAAAGGCAAGAGAGTAGAGCGAGAGGGTAGCGCTGCAGAGCCGGGTATATTCGGTGAAGGGAAGGGAAGGAGCTCCGAGGATGGTGTCCGGGGCCAGAGGGCGAGGGAGAGCAAGAAGACCACGGCTATATGCAGAAAGATCTCAAGATTAGTCAACGGACTACTCGGCAAGGACTCTCTTTGCGCGATATTAAGCTGGTATTCCGAGACCTACAACATTTTTCGCCAATGCGAATTTTTTTCTTTTTTTTTTTTTTTGCATATTTGTTTCAAATTTGCCGATTTCTTTCACAGCTTCGGATCATGGGACTGTTGTGAAGAAAATAGTAAGATAAAATTTTTGGAAAGTATCCCTGGTCACTTCGATCAAAGTAATTTATCATTATACACTCGATTATTTCGTAATGATGTTTTATTGTAATAATTTATAGCTTTGTTCTAAATAAAGAAGATTTTTTCTTTTTTATTAAATTTCGAATGTATAATTGTTTGGGAATAATTGTTTTTTTTTTAAATCTTACATAGTATCAACGTTTTGGTTGTATAATTTCTTCTCGATAAAAAGGAGAAGCTCGAGCTGGGGCGATATTTATCTAGATACTAAAAAAGCAGGTAATTTCAACTATTCACACGTAATAAATTTTAACCCTCTGCGGCCCAGCATCGAGAGCCTGGTTCCACATTCCTTTTCATTCGATTCCTTTCACTTTTGCCATATGAAACATATTTTATATACGATATTATTTGTAAAAATTCTTTAATAGAGAAATTTTAATAAAAAATACACAAAACACCGTAATTATAGAACCGATTATTAGTTATTTAACTATCAATTGCAAAACTATAAAAATATATTTAAATTATACGAACAATTTTTAACGATATTAGAAATAATTAATATAAAATATTTAAATGTATAATTAGAATTTAAAATATCGTATTATTCCAACTTATTCATTTTATCCCAAACAATATTTAAAAAGGGATAAAGAATATAAATGTTTATATATCTTTTTCGTTCATCCTTCGCCCCTTTCGTTTATTTTATTTATTCGTTACAATTACTACTATTTTATTTTCTATTTAATACTCTGAAACGCGATTCTCTACAAGAACTATCGATAGTATCGTCTAGAATACTTTCTCCTCGGTCGAGTGAATCTCGGTCGGGACAGTCTTTTGGATTCTCATCGGATAGAGTGTCGCTCGGAGTTATCCAACAGAACGGTTAGTGAAAGTATCCTTCTTATCGTTATCCTTTCGTTTTTCGCATTGAATCGGGTTCTTTAATTCTTTCGAATACTCCCTCGAATCTCATCATTTACACACGCGACGAGAAGAAGAGAATTCTGAGAAATTGACCGACATTCGTTCGAGAAAATATTACTCCCGTTAAACCATACTTAAATTTTCGATCACACGCTTTAGAGATACGAAAGATGAAACGTTTAATCGAGTTAACCAAACTTTTACAATTGTTAAGAGATTTTTTAATTGTCTCATTTTCCATTCGATCAATCCGCGAGTTTCTCTCGCGAAAGAGATAAAAAAAAAAAAAAATCGAGAGTATTCATCGAAATGGTGGACGATCGACAGAGACAATTGATGTCCAAGGTGAGCAGAAACGTGGATCGTGATTCGGAAGAAGGTTCGCGCTCTCTCGCGAAACGCAACACCTAATGACTCGCGTGAGCTTCGGTAATTCGATCTACTCTGTAGGAGGTTAAAAAGTGGCGTGCCGTAATTCGAGGCGGATACAGCTACCCCGCAAGTCATTCACGATGCTCACCGGTCCCGTCCGACCGCATTTCGTCCGTTAAACGATAGAACGACGGAAACGGGAGCACAGGTATACAGGGTGTTCGAAACAAAGTAGGTAGAAAATTTAGAAAGTTATTCCAGTGATCGCGAAGAGGCAGGTAGAAAAGTTTGCAAAAGATTC